AACTTCTTTCTTTTACAACACACACTTATCTTTCTTAAAAAAAATCCTTTATCAACCACTCAATCCCAATCTAATTTATACAACTTCCATCTCAAAATTCTTTCCAACACATTACCAGCCAAATCTCATTTATATTCTACCTTACCCTATTTCTATACTAACAATCTTTGTTCTCAATGTAATACCGCTCCAGAAACTACATATTATATCTGGCTCTGTAAAGAAAGCAACCTGGCTATAACCCAAATAATAAAAAACACCAAAGCACAAGCTATCCTTTCTTTCAAAAACAACAAAAACTTCAATTCAAAAACTTTCCAACAGCTCATTAACTCACCACTCACCTGTATAAACCTAGCTCTTGGCCTTATAAATACTAACTCCTTTTTTACAAACCTTAAACCATCTTCAAAAGATCTAAAAATTTTGAACAAACTTCAAAATGATATTCTTGACTTAATCTATTAGGAAATATGGACTTCTCGAAACAAAAGCATGAACGAAGAAGAAGAAATATACAATATCACTTGAGCAGACAAACACAGAAAAAATAAACAACCACATACAAAAAACAACAAACCAAAAAAAAAGACACTACCGGCAAACAAATTTCTCAATTCACAATCAAACAATCACACTAACATTATTATTTAATCTTTTTCTGAAAATCTATTAATGTCTTTCCATGATAGAATAAATTATTAAGGAGGAATTAGCCCTCCAAATATAGATAGTTCCTTTTATTTTCCTTTTTCAAAAAGGTTTTTTTCTAAAATATATCTATTTGGTGGTAGGCTAACATGTATAGTAATGTATCTTACAATCTAAACATTAATTATGTACTATTTTACTCAATTAATAAAGATCACGAGAAATGCCTCACTTAACACTTTAAAAAAAACTTTTAATTTAATTAATGAATTTATTAAAAAAAGAATATATATAAATATTGGAAATATTCAAAAAAATATACAATTAAATCTTTTTATAACAATATTTTTTATAACGATTTCTGGTTATAATGATATAATTTTGTTTATCTGTTTATTATAATTTATAGTAAAAAATCAATTTTTATACCGATAAACTGGTTATAATAATACAAATGATCTGATCCAGGCATATCAGTATAAAAAGGTTTGACTGTATATAGTATTTTTATATTTTTATAAAATGTTTTAGTATTAAAAAATTAAATTTAAAAAACAAAACAAATTTTTTTTTACATATTTTCAATCACTTTTTATATATTGTAATATAGAAAAGATAATGTGCCTTATGCTGAATTCTGAGGTTTTCCACGATATTGGGAAAAAAGACTGCAGTAGCAAGTATAATAAGTATGATAGAAATGAGTACAAGCTTGAAAAAAGAGGAAGAAAAAAGAATCGTGACATAATTACAATAGCTTCCACATAACTGGATTGTGTGAGAATTGAACATAACACTATAAGATCAATTAATAGAATTATGTAATAGAAGTAGCATGAAAATCAAATAACAAATATTCCGTCATAATATTTTTCATAGTTTTACTTAATTTGTAATTATTATTTTTATTATATAATGAGATTGTAAAAATGTATAAAAGAAAAGAGAGCATTAAATAAAGAAAGATAAGTTATTGTTTCTCAGCCATCATCAACTTCACCTCACTATAAACACTTACTATCATTATACAAATTTAACTTTCCATTAGTAACAGATTTGCCAATCACCATTACAATATATAAAAAAAAGTGGAAAAATTTTTGTTATAAATTTTTTTATTATAAAAATTAAATTATTTTAAAAATATTAATATATTAATTAAAACAATTTTAAATAAAGTTGTTTATAAGATATTTAACTATATATTTATAAATTTTCATAATTTTTTAATAATTTTTTATCAGATTATAACTAAAAATATAACTGTTATTTTTTTTGTATCATATTATATATCAGATTTAATAATTAAAATCATAAATTAAATATAAATTAATAAATTAATTTTATTTAAAAATACAAATTTTAATTTTTTAAAAATTATAATCAATAACTTTATTATTAAAATGTTTGATATTTTTAATATATAAAAAAATCTGACTATTGAATTTTGAAGATCACATAATTATAAGAATATATTTAATTGAATATAAATTAATTTTATATTATATATTTAAGTTTTTAATAAATTTTTTAAAAATCAACAGTTTAATTTTAATAAAAAAAATTTTTTTTTTATAGATAAATATTATTTCTTTATTTGATTTGTATATACATATCAAGATATTTTATTAAAATTAAACTATTAATTCTTGAAAAATTTATTAAAAATTATAAAAATTATTATTTTTATAACTAAAATCTTATGTCCTTATAATTAAAACCTATTTAAGTTATTCCTCAGTTATATCCTTATTAAATAGTTTAGTGACTCATATTTACTTTTATCAAAAGATTTATAATTTATAATTTATAAATTATATTTTGTTTTATTATATTATATCAAAACAATATAATAACTTATTGAATTGAAAAAGTATATAATTAGTGACTTATATACATATGGCATAAATTATTTTGCTATTGACTCAATTTTCAAAATCCTTAAAAATAATTGTATTATAATTCAATTATTTATATGTTTTAATAGTGACTTAATTAATTGCATTAAATAATTATATCAATTGCATCAAGGATTTATGAATTTTAGCAATATGTATAGTGTCCTACATGGATTTTGATATTATTACTAACAAATCAAATTATTATAACAATATAAACTATATCATGTTTTATATAAACTTAAAACTAATTTATACATATAAAAAATTTTAATATTATTATCTGATTAGATCAAAACATATATATTTAAGAATTACATATTGTTAATATCTCTTTCGACAAGTCTGTTACTTCTTTGGAGCACTTCTTGCGTAATGTCGATAAGTGTTTGGCTTCTCTACTTGAGGCGTGTGGATTGTTTAGCTAAGTTCCATTAACTCTTTCCTTCTCTTTCTGTTGTTGCTTCTCTTGACGAATCTTTATTACTTTTTTTTTCATGGTCCCAAGTATCCTATTAGTGACAAGTACTAAATTAGATAAGTTAATTAGTTTTTACTCCTTTTGGCAATGACTATCACACATCCTAATTAAAAAGGTTTTAATTTTAGGAACTGTTTTTTTTATTTGTACAGCCTCTCTCTATTTATATCATTGTTACCACTAGAAAACAATTAAGGGAAAATAGATTATCGATAGACTATCCTTATAAGGAAAGTTATAAAAAGTCTATTCTAAACTCTAATTATTGCATCATTGCTTATGCAACCTTATTAATTATTTCCAATTTTCAGGGTACGCGACGCATCAGATCGTGTACTGTGGTTACATCCTATGCAATTTTCCTGCTAACAATATAATAAAAATATTATTATAATTATATCTATCAACCTTATATCTTTTCTAAAACTTTTCAAATGGTGATTATGTTCAAAATGTTTTTTTTGTTTTTATTTTTTCATAACAGATAGTTTCTTAGGTTTTTATTATCTCAGATAATATATCTGTTTATAATGATATACTGATATATATAGTCATATACTTCATTTTTCTTTTGATTTTGTACAAATGTATTATATTTATTATATTATAATCAATAAAAACATGAGGAAGGTCTCACTTAATATTAAAAAAAAAATTCATATAAATTGAAAAATACAAATTATTTTACAAATACATATTTTATCTAATTTATAATAAGAAAAAATCTATTTATAGGTATTTGTTTATTAAGAAACTATATAAAGTTTCAAATATAATGATTTTTTAATATTTAATATTAAAAAAATTGCCCGTTTTTTTATTACCAATACTATATAAATTAAAAAATATTTTTTCGACCAAAAATAAATTACAAACCTTTTATGTTATTTATTGAATTATTAACAAAATTTAATTTACAAACCACGTAGCATCGCATAAATAGATAAAAATAGATGACATTATATACAAGATAAATCCTAGATGTTTCTTGTTATAATTAAATTCGTAAATCTTAATTATTTGTTCCCGATAAATTAGCATTAATATTACTGGTTTAAGGTTGTTAGCATATCGAATTTTATTTGCATTTCTTTGTCGGTTAAAAAAAAAAAACTGCATATTTTTATACAAAGGCTTAATTCATTGTCAAACTGACCGCGTTAAATTAGGCAAGTCTACTTATAAAATAAAGATATTTTTTTTGTTCTAGGTAACACCATCTGTTTATATGAAGTCGATGCACAGACTTATATAATGGCTTCGGGTCGCGGATTATCCGCATCTTCTTAGTTATAAGCAATTCATCTTTGAATAGAAAGAAGAAGTGTGTTCCTTCTAACCAAAGGCCAGCCATTCTCGAGAAAAAAAAGCATTCATAAGGTGGGTCGAATTCTTCTAGCCGGATGGGTATTGCGCAGGAGGTGCACATGAAATCAAAACATCAAGAGCCACCATACATAAGCAACCGAGCCACATTTTACACGGAATGTATATTCTTCCGGGAGGAATATGCGCAAAGGTGTCAATGTTAATATACAGATTTCTGTCGGACAGTATCTTTTGTCCTCCTATATTTGGTCACCTCTGTCTGACAAACCGTTTCCAATTATACTTAACGTGTCACCGCATAAAATTAAAAAGCTTCGGAGAATTTGTAGAAAATCACTAATATTCTCTCAAGGTGTTGCGAGCGCCCCACATTCCTATCCAACAACTTTCCCAAGTAAGCGTCTTTGAAAAAGACGAGTGAAATTTATTTCATTTTTATTAACCTTATAAATATTTTATTTTAGTCCACACAGACCCTTAGCAAGGCAGTTCTTTCTACCGTTTTTTTTATAATTCTTTATATTCCTCAAACATTGAATTATCTCTTGCAAAAAAGAACACACACATACATATATAAGAACCATATTCTTTCCTTATTTACCCAAATACTTGATATCCTTGACATACAATTCAGTAATATAATGTCCACGCCAGGGCAAGCATCGGAAGCTTTGAATTTTTTAATTGGCTTCTCAGTGTCCTTTGCTGCATCGGTTATGAATGCAGCAGGCCTTAATTTGCTTAAATTAGATCACGTCAAAAACTCCAGTATGCCTCCGAATATACAACGAAACGAGTGCGGAAGGCCTTTATGGCACTTTGGCTTATATTTGTATATTGCCAGTCAACTCATAGGAAGCACGATCGCATTAAGTACGCAATGCCTTTATTATATAACTTATGAATGGTTGTGAAGAAAAAAAGAAGGAAACTCACCGTTATTCTTAAAATCATATTTATAGATTTCCTTAAAGCACAATGGGTAGCACCTCTTGGCTCGATATCACTTATATTCAATTTCATATTTGCTCGAATGTTTGTTGGAACACGGATTACAAGACGAGATATCATTGGTACTTTTGTCGTGATAATCAGCGTAATATGGATCGTGATATTTGGTGGAATAGATACTGATGGAGACGGTATGTTAAACATCCTTTTACTAAATATATGCTAAGTACTACGCTACTAAGTTGACCTTATTATTATTATTTTATTTCACAAGATGATCTAACATTGGGAAAGTTAAAGTCACTGATGATACGTCCACTTTTTATCGTGTACTTTTCATTCCTTAATATTTTGACATTTGGACTGTTTGGGACTGCTATATATTGTTACTGGATCCTCAAGGATGAACACAGAAAGATGCGTGACAACTTCTTTAAAGGGATTGACACATTGAGGTTAAGAAAGGTTGTAGGCATGACCATGGCGAGTGTTGGTGGTTTGACTGCGAGTCAAACGTTACTTTTAGCCAAAAGCGGGTAAGTTAATGTAAATACTGAGTGAATTTCTTCTGGTTTCATTTATTTTTTTTTAAAGTCGACTAATAATCAATCTCACTTGATTCTTTTACAATAAAAGTGTTAAACTTTTCTATATATCGATCACTTCTTCCAACCAATTCACAGATAGCCTAAGCAAATTTATTCTTGTTGGACTTGCGGTCACTGCCGTGTTACAAGTTAGTAAACTGTAAACTGTAACCTTTTTTTTTACTTTAATTTCTTTCCATTCTGACCGTACAACAAATAATATTTTTTAGGTATATTGTCTTAATACCGCATTAAAATTACACGATTCCGTGTTGGTTGTTCCAATGTTTTATGGATTTTATACTGCCATGGGACTTGTAAACTCCGTGATTTATCTCGGTGAAATAGGAACCTACCCAGGCTATGCCCTCATATTAGTAGGATTAGGAATTGTTGTATTAGTATATGGTGTTTGTATGCTGAGCGAGACAAAAGAAATTCCAAATACGGGAACTGTTGAATTCGAATTTGAAGACGAGGATGAAGTAAAGAACGAAAACGCGCATGGAACCGGTAAATGGGATGACTTTAGTATTGGAGGTTCAAGTAGTGCCGCAGGATCGGACGTAGAACTATATAAACAAAATTCCAATAGCACTAGAGGTCGATTTGGAGACGGAAGAATATTCTCATTTTCAAATAAATCTGGACTAGGCTTTAAACCTGGATTTTTCAGGATGAGTCGATTGGGCAGTAAGAACAGAACCGAATTCCGAGAAGTTGGCACAAAATTATCTCAAATAAGTTTAGAAAATTCATCATCTCCACATGTTATAATTGATCAAGATGATGAATTTTCTGATGACGAATTTATAACACAACAAATTGCTACCCCACCAGAAGCAGCGGTAACAGATGATTTGTTGTCATTCTCTGGAAATTCATTGTCACAATCAAGCGCGGCGAAAAATATTGATGAATCACTATCTTTATTAATATCAAAAAACCAATTTCTAAGCAAAACATATGAAGATGAAGTAGAGTCGGTATTATACGCGCAAAGTTTTGATGACCTATTAAAAACCAAAGATTTATCGAAGGAGAATGACAAACCTGATGGAGACAGAAGTTGAAAATTATTAATATAATTTATATAATACCTAATTATTAATTTGTGGTGCGAGCCAGAAGAGTTGTGTAAACGGCTTAGGCATATTATAATAGAAGTCATGGTCAAAATAATTACAAAGGAAATTTAGATATAAACATTAGAAAATTTTACTATAACAAGGGTTGTAACCTATTAGGGTATTTATACGTTACAACAGTGGTAGGTAGTTACATAAATTTCTTTATAACTTGATGTTAATATTTAATTTATTATACATTATTTACAGAATTTTGTAAATAACATGGAGGGAGGGAGAAGGTTTGAAATTTTAGGAGTAGTTAGTTATATTTAAGGATTTTTGTAAAACGATGCACCTTGAGGAATAAATAACGAGTCGTTGTTTAGCTTATATTTGATGAGTTTCTTTCCGATATTGACATGTCAATAAATCACTGGTTCAAATTTTGTCTATAGTCAATATTTTGAAGACGGAATTTTGATTTTTTTAACTCCGTATTTTAAAGTTAATTCTCGTCAAAAAAATAGTAATAAATAAATAAAATAAAATAAAAATATATTAAATAAAATTTTTTTTGCAATACATAAACAGAAATCTAAATATTTGTATGTTAACTAGAAATAATGGAATTATGAATTGTAATATTTAATTATTACTCCATTCAATAGTTAAAAATATCTCAAACTTGACTTGAATTTGAATTAAAGTATTTGAAAACATAATAATTATTCAATTGTTACTTGAAATTTTATAAATAAAAATTTTATAATAATATATAATTATTTGATAACTTAACTTTGCTTTAATTTTTATTAATAATGTTTTTTTGAATCAATTGATTATTTAATTACAAGATTTTATAATACTTATAATCAGATAAGATTATTTAAATACTTGTTAATATTAGTTCAAATTATATTATTTAGTTGTCAAATTATAGCCAAATTAATATAAGAATTTAACAAAATTGCAATAACAATAATTAGTTAATTGTTATAAAATTTTTTATTTTTTTTTCAACTAATAAAGTCTTGTCTAACATAATTTACATTTGTATTTCTTTTACAAAAATTATTATCTATAAATTATTTTGGATATTATATTAAATTGCTTTTATATCTTTTAAATATATAATATATCAAGACTAATATTTTTTTGAGAGGGTTTTTTCCATAGGTAAACATTATTTCTTTATTTGATATTGTATATAACAAGGTATACATTGTAAAAGAAACAATATCTCTTATATACTATATATAAAGTAACAAGTTAAATACTAGCTTGCCTATACATTGTTATAAGAAAAAAGTAATAAGTATATTATAGAAAATTATAAGGATAAATATAAGGATAAGTATATTAAATATAATATATAATATATAAAATGAGAATAGATAAGATAGATTTCCAGGAAAGTCTGGAGTCAGCTATAATATTATTAAACTTATAGGGGACAAAGCTATTGTGTATATGACAATAGTATTCAACCATATCTTACAATCCACCTTCATATCCAAGCAGTAGAAACAAACCATTGTCACGCTTATTTCAAAAAAAGTAGTATGGAGTCACAAGCTTAATGACACTAGACCTATCTCACTTGTTAACTCTACAAGAAAAATATTTACAGGACTAATCAATAAAAAACTAACCAAAATTTTCAAAGATAATAATATTTTATCAGAATTTAATTGTGCCGGCCTTTCTGGACAAAGTACAATAGAATATTTAACTATTGTACACTCAGCTCTACAAGCAGCAAATGCTAACAATAGGAAATTTTGGTTTGCCTCTCTCAATATTGCTAAAGTATTTGACTCAGCTCCAATATCAGCAATAAAAAAATCGTTAGAAAGAATTAACTGTCCCGAACAAATTAACAATCTTCTTATCAATATCTTAAGCAACAAAGAAGTATCCATCAATACACCATTTGGAGCAACCGATCTATTTATCATCAACAATGGTGTAGAGCAAGGTGAAACACTATTACCAATTACTTGGGTTATCTTTTATGACCCCTTAATTACTAAACTATCACAGCATGACTCAGTTTGAGAATATGTGGCTCCTAATACACTCGCATATATGGATAATCTAGCACTCATCGCAGACTCCAAACAAAAAATGGAAAATCTTCTAAGTGTGGTCAACCAATTATTCATACTAAACAATATCACATACAATAAAGATAAAACAAAAATAATCAACAATATTAGAGTAAAGCAAGGGACTTAAGACACTATCAAATTTGACAATTACCATATTCAAATCTTCAAACTATATGAAAATGTTAAATATCTTGGAACACTAATTTCTCCCAGAAACTTTAACAAGGTTAACAGAAGAGCATTTCTACAGACGTCATTACAAATTATTGAAAAACTAGCTAAACACAACTGGAAAAGAGAAATTAAGCAACAAATCTATGATTGGATTACTATAGGGAAGTTCGAGTACTTTTTATTCTCCTTGTTTTTTAACTGCATAACCCTCAATGTACTCCAAACCAAAATTAACAAACTGGTAAAGTCAGCATATAAGATTTCATCAAAATGCTTTAATACAATCCTAATTAGCCATAGTGGCCTCAACTTGACAGTACTAGAAGAAAGACAAAAAACTACCTTAATAGAAAACCTCATTTTCAAACTCTTTATTCCCTCTATCAAGAAATATATAATACAAGATATCCAATCTATCCAAACAAAAGAGGCTATTTGGTTCTGCTCTATTTGTGACCCAGAGAAATTCAACCAGGAAAATTGGATTCTATATGCTGCAAAATTAGTCAAAAATTTCAAAATTCAAATTTGTTTAGCAAAATGTCTATTTTACCTCGACAATGTGGAAAACTCTATCAGTTTTTTATTTACCAATATGCAATTATAACTTAAAAAGATAGCAATCAATACAACCAATTCTCTTAACATAAAGTTCATTAATCAACTACTAAAATATAATAATACCATCAAACTTTCCTGGCCACAACTTGCTATATACACAAGAATAATTTGCCTGGGTTCAGAGCCTAACTGTTCAAAACATTTGTAAATACCAAAAACCTTTTTGAAACTCATGGCCCAATTCCAAATCCTAAAACAATATTTTGGTTCTTGCACAATATCAATGCAATTGTCAAAACTCGTAAAAGATATATTTCAATAGACAAAAGAACACTACTCAGAGGCAAACATTTCACTATAGATCTCGACAATAATTTTACTAGATGTTTGAGCTGTCCGATTGGCACATCCTCCCATGGTTTTTGTTAGATACCATTCATGAGCATATCAGCCTTCACATTATGGGACTCTTTTAACCTTTTCAACAAATTCAAATACCACTTGCTCAATATAATTGATAAAGTTGTCAACTCACCTCCTAACAACAAATATATCCTTCAAGAAGTTAATATTTCTACCAATCACTCTCCCCAATTATTACTACAAGATCTCGACTCGCAACAACATTATCACATCCAATTACACAAAAGTAACCTATTTATAAATGAAATCAAAATAAGACCACTCAACTTCTGTTTATCACCAGGCAACATTCTACTGGTAATCTTTGATATTGTTCAGGGAATTCCAGCTCACTCCACCATTGAAATCCAAAGCAACAAAAAAATCCTTCAATTAGTACTTGAGTACTTGAGAAGAATGGTTAAAATCAACTTTTCTTTGCTATCCCAGAGAATAAATCGATATATACAACAGAAATCCATAAAAATTATATATACCAAACCTAAGTCCAGACCAATATCAACCAGAATTATTCAATGGAACAATTGCCAACTACATTTTCCTGAAAATCCTCTAATCAACAATACTTGCCTAGGAAGTAGCATCAGATGGTGCAAGAAAATTTTCAGCATTATCAGAAACTACATTGTATGTGAAAGCTCCTTAGTTGTTTAAATGTTTGGACGAACACATACTCTGCATGGTCTAAAAGTCATCAACCAATTAAACAAAAATATCAGAAAGCTTCATAACAACAAATACAGTACCCTAGTAGCCTTCAGAGTTAAACTGCTCTTGAGAACTCTTTCAACTCGTCTCACACTCCACCAACTATACCCTAACCAATACCCAAATACCCTCTGTCCACAATACGAGCTCTGCACTGAAGATATTTAACATGTTTTTAAATGCTCGGAAGTATTACAAGCAACTGAACAAATTATAAAAACTATTAATTAGACTCTCCATCTAGACAATAATCACAAACCAATCTCATACATATGAAAAGTCATCAAATTGTCATATGGAGTTACAGACAAAATCTTCTTCACTTCAACCTCTACCAACTAGATCAAGGCAACAACAGAATCATTAACCTTGTTACATGACCTAATTTGAAAACCACGTTGCTTCACAGCTAATACCTTACCTCTTACTGGAATCAAGTGAAACCATGCTAAGTTGCATAATTCAATCAACTCCACCAATTCAGAAACCAAAAAAATCTTGCAAACCAAAGACAACTCCAATAACCCACAAAATAATATTATCATTGACTTACCTTTTACTGTTACTAATTCATTCATCCAATCTAAATATAATTACTCCAAATGTATTTATAGCTTAACAACTTAATCTGCTAATTTCAACTCTATTTCCCCTGATACTGAGTAGGTATTTATAGCTGCTCGGTGCCATCTGGCAAGATATATTGTTTTAAACTTTCTTTTCAATATTAGTCATATGGTTACTGTAGGCAAGCTAGCATTTAACTCATTGTACCAACACATGAGAGATGTTGTTTCTTTTATAATGTATACTATGCTATATACAAATCAAATAAAGAAATGATGTTTACCTACAAAAAAAAAAAAAAAAAAAAAAGAATAGATAAGATAGATTTTGTAATAGGTTATACTCCATCAGGAAATTTTTGAACAAAAATCTTTGAAGATCTTCAAATATAGACCTTTGAAGATCCTTTATCATTGTTAAAAGACTCTGGAACAAAAATTTATATATTGACCTTTGGAG